GACAGATAGACAGATCGACAGATAGACAGATAGACAGGTAGGTAGGTAGGTAGGTAGGTAGGTAGGTAGGTAGGTAGGTAGGTAGGTAGGTAGGTAGGTCGGTCGGTCGGTCGGTCGGTAGGTAGGTAGGTAGGCAGGCAGGTAGACAGCTAGTTAGATAGATAGATCGATAGATAGATAGGTAGACAGATAGATAGATAGGTAGAGAGATAGCTAGCTAGACTGATAGATAGATAGATAGATTAGATAGATCGATCGACAGAAAGGTAGACTGATGTGTATATGTAAATGTGTTTATATGTACAGATGTGCACATGCCGAAGACCAAGGCCCAAGCCTCCAGCACCCATGGCAGCACGACCGTGTCCTCGGCAAGTCTTGGGTTTGGGTTTAGAGCTCTTCGGGTTCGGGGCTTCAGGTGGAGATTTTTAGGGTTTTGGCGTAAGGTGTGGATTTTGCGGGCTCATGGGGCCGGTCGACTTGACATGGCATGGGAAGGCTCAGGATCTTTATCATCAGCGCCTGCCAGTCTTTTGCAAAGCTTCGGCATCATGCCGGCGGCAGGCAAACATCAAGACTTCCACGAGGGCAAACACTGACCGTTCAAGTTGCGGTCCTGGTTAAGCTGAAGAGAAAGCCTTTCAACATGTCAATCGGAGCAAAAAGCTGAAACCTGCGTATTGCTGCCACGCTTCCAGATAGCTCACGTGGTTGCCTCGTGTCTGGCCGAGAGATGACCACTGCAAAGTACATGCCGGACAAAATCGAGAGAACAAGGACAGAACAGCTTCAACAGCTAGAACACCCGGCGAAGTCCTGAACTCCGTGCTGCCATGGTGCTGACGATCAGCGGCGTGGCACGTAGCCTCGGGGTGAACGTCATGGGCACTACTTGAGATGGCAAGGACGTGGCTTCCCCAAGCTCGATCTGCAGAAAGGTTTGTCTCTTCCACACATGGCTATAACACATGCATGTATACGAACGCAAATTAAGAAACACATAAAGAGAGAAAGAACAAACACGCAAACAAACAACAAACCCACGCAACAGCTTATATGTACATATACATGCATTAATACATAGGTGAATACATCATATACGATATAACACGAAATTATATATATATATACACAGATAGATAGATGTATACATGCATGTACATACCTATATATATATATATATATATATGCATAAATACATATATATATATATATATATTAAAAAAATATGCATGCTTCGTGCTTGTCGTTGCTAGTCTAATTTGATGTGTTGTATGAGCTTGTTTGTTCATTCATTTCGTGAACTTATCCGTCTATCTATCTTGTGTTTATTCATCTGTTTAGTTTCATCGTGCTCTTATGGTCGTTTCCTATCTAAACCCTAAACCCTAAACCCTAAACCCTAAAATCCCAATGCCCACACCGAGAGGCATCCGTTGCCGCACCTCCGGATCGCTCGGGAGGGGGCCGAAGTCATTGCCTGGAGTTCGCACTGTATCGTACAGTATAGTGTACCCTAAGCCCCCAGTTACCTACTATGTAGGGCCTTAGGGGCTCTGGTACCTTATATAGTAGGTACCTGGGGGGTTAGGGGTAGTATTGTTTTAATACAATTCCGTGTGGTTCAGTACAGTTTAGTTTATACATTTTGATATAGCTCAGCTTGGTTTAGCAAAGGATACTGCCAACGGAGATGAGCGCATGCAACATCATGAACATTCGGAAACATCTGAACAACACAGGTAAGAAAGATCGGGCACAGTACTACTGGCCCTGGACCATCCTGCACCCTTGGCTGCAGGTTGCTTTCAGTTGCTGCTGCCTTCAGGCTTCACGCATGTCATCATCCGCTAGCTGCACAGCTTTTGCTTGGTCTAGGCCTATGCTCCAACCTGCCCGCTGCTGCGCCTGGACAGAAAAGGATGCAGAAAGGCTGTTAGGCCGAGTCGCCATATGGCCCGGACTCGCAGAGAATGGTAGGCCAAATTCCGTTCGCGTACAGCCAAGTGCCTCAGAGCGGCACAGAAAACGAACCCCTCACTGCCCTCACTTGCAGATTTGTCACCTGCATGCTTCCTTAGATATCCCGACATACATCTTGAGCCTGAAGGCTGAATCAAAGCCACCTGAAAACACCATGCCGAGTGTCGGAAGCCCATCTTAAAAGCCGCCGAGTCTGTGACCTAGGGCCGCGGCAAGGACAGATGGGGTAGTATCCCGTGTCGGGAATTGGTGAAGCGTAGAATATCTGCCGAAGCTTCGGCCATCTTCTGCTCCACTCACGGTTAAGGTTTAGGGTTTAGGGTTTACGGTTTAGGGTTTAGGGTAGAACCCTACGGTTTCGGGCTTTAGGCTTAGTGGTCTAAACATCTCTGAAAGCTTACCAAGGCCGTTGTCAACCTCCTACAACACCCTGAAAACCCAAACCCTAAACCCCTTAACGCTAAACCCACTCTGATGAAACCCTCAAGATTCCTAACCCCTAAACCCCTAAATGCTAAACCCATTCTTATCAAACCCTGAAGAACCCGAAACCCTAAACCCCTAGATGCTAAAGAAGCCACTCTTATCAAACCCCGAAGAACCCAAAACCCTAAACCTCTAAATGCTAAAGCCACTCTTATCAAACCCTGAAGAACCCCAACCCTAAACCCCTAAACGCTAAACCCACTCTTATAAAACCCTGAAGAAACCAAACCCTAAACCCCTAAACTCTAAACCCACTCTTATCAAACCCGGAAGAACCCTAAATAAACCCTAAACCCCTAAACGCTAAACCCACTCTTATTATAAAACCCTGAAGAAACCAAACCCTAAACCCCTAAACTCTAAACCCACTCTTATCAAACCCGGAAGAACCCTAAATAAACCCTAAACCCCTAAACGCTAAACCCACTCTTATAAAACCCTGAAGAACCCTATACCCTAGACCCCAAAATGCTAAAGCCACTCTTATCAAACCCTGAAGAACCCTAAACCCTAAACCCCTAAATGCTAAAGCCGCTCTTATCAAACCTTGAAGAACCCAAACCTCCTAAACCCTGAACCCTAAACCCTAAACCCTCAACCTTAAACCCTAAACCCAAACCTCCCTCAACGCTCAGGAGCGCCTGGCGCCGGCCCAGCTTCTCCTCGGCGCGACCCACGGCCCAGCCGGCGCCAAGCGACCTATCTTCTACCAGAGGGTGTTTTATAGGGTTTTTGGCTTTAGGAACTTTAGGGTTTAGGGTTTGTAATACTTTAGAGACTTTATGCGACCTATCTTCTACCAGAGCGCGTTTTATAGGGTTTTCGGCTTTAGAGTTTTGGCTCTTTTAGACTTTATAAAGTAGGGGTTTCTAGAAGGCCTTCTACCAGAGGGTGTTTTATAGGGTTTTCGGCTTTAGCGTTTAGGATTCGTAGACCTTATAATATAGGGCTTCTAGAAGGCCATAGGGGTTCGATGAACGAGCTCCATAGAAGGGACTTCAAGACTTAGGTCCTTCGTTTGGGGTTTAGGATTTGAGTCTCAGGGCGAAGGCTTGGGATCTTGGGATCTATAGTTTAGGGTTTAGGGTTTAGGGTTTATGGGCTGAATCTCTAACACTCTGACACTTTGGCTTGGTACGGTGATAAACAGACTTCAGATATCCCCAGATAAACTCGAAACATGGTCTTGATTCCCCAGGCCTCTAAACACCTACCGTTTCAAAACATTTATGCAACCCAAAACAGTTAAAACACCTACACACCCACCATCTTCAACCATGTGAGCCTTAAGCTCGTCTTTGAGCCAAGAAGCGCGCCGCCCACTAAGGTTCCGACAGCATGAGCCACGAGACCTGAAGCAGCTGCGGGTTGAGGGTGCATAACGAGCCTATACGCAGAGACTCCAATATCCCTTAATTAAGGAATATACCTTAGCCTTAAATTATAGTAGGATCCCTAATATGACATAAGGTATATTCCTTAATTAAAGGATATTGGAGGTTTGTAGCGATTTAGACGAGCGCTATGGAGCATCAGGTTGTCGGGTTTGGGCTAGGCTTCAGGGCTCCACGGGTTCCACCGTTTCGGGTCCTCCGGCGAAGACGGCTTAGGGTTTAGGGTTTCAGGGTTTAGGGGGATTAGCATTACAAAGATCCTTCCAAGTTCCAGAGACTGCCAGAGCTCGGAGCGGGAGAGCAGTCGCCACAAGGTAACCTAAAATGTGCGGAAGCCCCAAGCAAGCAAGAACTCAACCTATAGCCTAAGCTGAATCAGGCCCTCAACATCTGAAAATTCCGGAATTTGAATTCCTCCTTGTTAAACCCCGCCTCGGACTTATACAAAACAAGCACTATGTTTCGAAACATCTGAACCTCTCCCCTAGACCCTAAATCCTAAACTCT